CTGCCTGGCCACTCCGCAGTCCGTCAACTGCGCGCGGTGCAGCAGGCATCAGAGGCTTTGTCCCCAAATCCCGAGGCCTTTGCAATCAAAGGGGAATTATTATTCCTTTTTTCTTTGGCTGTATAGCAGGATCAAAAAAACAGCTGCTGCCTTCTATTACCTTTCAAGTCTCAGCTCTCCATCTACCCGGCTAGCTGCTCGGACGGGTTACGCCTCTCAATTGGGCAAGCAGCGCAGCCGCCCCCCCGGCGGTGCCAGCTCCCCCCACCCTCCATTGCCCCAGCTCTCCCTTCCAAGCCTCCGGTTGCTTTGACCTGCTCCAGTGGCATAAGCCTTCTCCTGTCTCCCCACAAAAATTCCCTTTCTGGGAATGATGCAGCTGACCGAAGTGCTCAGCAGAGCTGTTAGTTCAGAGACCAAATTTATCCCCTTCTCCGGAGCCCCCAGGTGCCCCGCGGCAGAAGGAAGGACCAGGGCTCGGCATGGTCCAACAGCTCTGGCAGAGCAACCTTTGCCAGTCGGCGCTTTCTTTTTTATGTCTTTAAGAAGTCTTGTCTTTTTCTGTGATTCATGAGTTCCTACCCTAATAACTCTTTCTTCTAAGGCTTTCGATAAATTGTTTTCAGCTTCCCACAGCCTTAGCAGGGAACCCAGCTTTTGCAGCCGTGATGATGAGAGGCCTTTTAAACCACGAGGGACTCGGGGAGGGGAAATACAAAGTCTTTGGGGAGCAACCATTTGTTGTGCTTTTTTTTTTTATTCCTCTTAGAGGTAAATTTCTAACCCACGGAGCTTTTAATCCTAAAATAACAGCGGAGGCAGAGACACGAGAGCTCCCATTGTTCGGAGAAGGTTGAACCTGGCTGCAGTCCGTGCTGGCCACACATGGGGCTGACTCCTTCCCCTCCTTGCTGCCTCTTCCCGCTGCCCAGATGCTCCAGCTGCCGCCCAAAGCTTTGGGGGAGGCGTAGCTGAGCTCTCCCCTCCCAGCCTGTGCCGGCTTTCATGCCACAGCACAGTTGTACAGGCAGGGATGGGCATGCAGGGGGGGGACAGGCAGGGGATCACACTTCCCACTAGCAGCCTGGCGATTTCCAAAGTCCTGATGTGCAGATCCACGGGATAAGGCCAGTGCCCAGCTCCCACCCTGGCAGAGGACTCCTGGTTCAACACAGCCTCGGGGTTTTGGCTCGTGTGTGCATGTGGGGCAGCACAAACCAGGGTCAAACCCCATTGCCACATCTGCCCGGGGCACTGGGGCAGCACCAGCATGGCTTTGTGGGACATGGCATGCTCCGGAGCTTGGGACTTGGTTGTTCCCAGCCTTCCCAAAGCTATTTCTCATCTCTTTTTTTCCCCAGGACACGGATAATTGCCCAATGCTCAGGTCTGCCCCTCTTCCAGCCCCCTCCTCCATTCTTACCAGTTGCTCTTCCACGTGTGCCTGACGTCGGTGTCGTGGATGCCGTGCTTATCTGCCTGCTCATCCAGGAAATCGAACATGTACTTGATGGCCAGGGGCAGCGCGCTGCCGCGGTGCACGGTGCTGAACAGCGTCTCAAACAAGTCGTCCACGAACTTCTGCAGCGTACCCTGATGGGAGCAGGAGCCGAGAAGGTGACGGGAGGGACGGGCGCACGCTTGGTTAGGCCGCGGTGGCAGGAGGGGGTGCCAGATGGCATTGCCAGCTCTGCACGGCCCTGCAAAGCGCTGCCACAGACCCCCCAAGGAGCAAGGAAGGTTGGGGGCTTTACAAATGCTGACTGTGCTGCTGGAGGACCCTGGGGGAATGCTGCAGCCTGCAGCTACTCACGGCTGCACTCACTCTTTATTTCTAACCTGAAACGATTTCTTTTGCTTTCAAAAGCAAATCTGTGTTATCTAGAGTGATGAGCACATGGTGAAAGGCAGGAAAACTCTCTCTGGCCAAGGAAACCAGTTAAATATTTACAGGTACTGCTGCACCTCTCCAATGCTTTGTGTTGTAGCACTGTGCAAGGAGAATAAAGCATTGCAGCAATTACCTGGCAGTGTGTGGAAATCTGGGCTGTGTTTCTGTTGCTGCTCCAGAAGCCCAACCCGTGGAGCCCAGGAAACCCTGGCAGGGAAAGTGTGTTCCCCTCCCAGAGCTGAGCATCATTAGGGACTGCGCAGGACCCCCGGCAAGTGCACCCTGTGCATCTCCCAAGTGAATTCAGCGCTTGGCAGTTACCTTTGTAGCTAACAGCCTGGTCAGGTAGATCTCGGACACCATCTTACTGCCCCGGTCTCCCTCCTTCTGGTCTCCGTGGTCATGGTTTTTAACCAAGTGCCAGACCTTGACCCCGCTCTCCAGGTCGGGGGTGATCATGGGGGCCCGGGAGCGCAGGCTGTCAGGGCTGCCGGTGTAGCGGAAGGTGGAGTCTGAACGATGGGAAGAGAAGCTGGTCATGGTCAAGACAAACCCCTTTTTCATTTCCCCATCTCCTCCATGATACCACCACACTCGCTAATGCCAAAGTCATCTGCACTGGCTTTTTTATGGGGTAATGAAATGTAATACTACCCAGGCACCGCTAAAATTTGGCATTTGCCGAAGATACGTGTTGGTCTTCACTGGTCAGAGTCCCCCAGGCTCGGGTCTTTGTGTTTTCACACTCAGACATGGGACTTGCCTGCTTCGTTCACATCCTTTACTTATGTGAGCTCAGAGGGGACCGACAAGGGTTTTTCCCTTTATCACTCTAAAACCACAGAGGGATGTGAGATATATTTAAATTCCCAAAGAATATGCCCCCCTGGATCCCATCCACGGTGTCTTCAAGCCAAGACACGGGGCTGAGTAGTACGACCGTGTGGTGTTGGGTTTTTTTTGTCCTCTCACTAAATTTCTTTGTTCTCTGGGAACCTCGTAGGTTTTCTCAAGTTTAGCCTCCACTCCACTGCTCACCCTCCTCATCGAGAGTAAGGGGATTAATCATAAATCAGCCGAGGGAAATACGCAAGTCATTACCAAACTAGCTAGATTTTCATCCCTGATTAAGGCTTAGATAAATGAGTGCTCCAACTGATATAATTAAGGAGACAGACAAGGGGACAGCTAGGGAAGCATCCAGTAATTCTATTTTTAAACACAGCTCTGTACTGATATATAATGGGGGAAGTAAATAAGTATCTCATTTAAATTCTGTCTGCACAATTAGAAATATTAATCTTAACATGAGCAATGATAGTTCATATTGGTAGTTTGCAAAAGCTTTTCCATCAGACACAGATCGATGAGCTCAGAGGACTCGGGTTGCCTGACCCAGCCTCGGTGTTCCATCACCTGCAGCACGGGAAGTGCTGGGCCAGGGGCTGGACTGCACCTCTCAGGGAAAAATGCTTTTGCTCCTGGCTTTTACCCAAATCTCTCCTGTGGACGGCTCCTCAGAACCCTTCCTCGAGAAAAAAAACCCCACATTATTTTGGGAGCTATAAACAAGAGGAGGGGAAGGGATTGTCGATCTCTCGTTTGTAAAACACTCTGTAAAATGAAAGATAATGAAAGATCAGTGCACTAGAGATTTTGCCACTGCTGCCTTTTATGGAAGTATATTATTACAATTATTGTGGATTTAGTGCTATAAACGCACACCTGGCACCTCGCAGACTCATTTACTCAGGCTCCAGCGTCTTCAGGGACTCTCCGGAACGTGCCGAGCCCTGCTATTATGCAAATAAAGAATTCCCAGGTGTGCAAATCCGAGCACACCGAGCTAAGATTGCCCTTACCCATTTTTGACCCATTAGCTAAGAATTCAGGATCCTCCACTGAGAGGAGAAATAGCTGAAGGCGTCAGGCTTTTCTCTGGTGCAGCCCTGCTTACGCGCGAGGGACACAGAGCTGCTTCCCTGCAGCACCCGTCCCCCCCGAGCCAAAAGCCCTTCCCTGGACTTTTCCAAGACCCACACTTCCAAAGGGTGCTCACGTTGTACTTGGCATTTCCTTTTCCCTCCTCTCAGCTTCCCTAGTCTTTTTGCTATTTTGCTCCCAGATGGAAAAGCCTTTGCAAAAAAAACAGTAGCCAAGGACATTTTTCTGTTTGGCACATGAATGTATTTCATAGAATCACAGAATCCCAGACTGGTTTGGGCTGGAAGGGACCTTAAAGCCCACCCAGTCCCACCCCCTGCCACAGGCAGGGACATCTTCCACTAGACCAGGTTGCTCCAAGCCTCATCCAGCCTGGCCTTGGACACTTCCAGGGATGGGGCATCCACAGCTTCTCTGGGCAACCTGTCCCAGCGCTCCCCACCCTCTGCAGGAAGAATTCCTTCCTGATGTCCCAGCTCCATCTCCCTCTTTCAGTTTAAACCTGTTACCCCTTGTCCTGTCACTCCCTGCCCATTTTGCCTGACGTGGTGTGGTTCTTTGCGGGAAGCTGCTGCTTTTTCCCCACCTAATTCCCTAAGTTGCCACCCCTCCTGCCCCAAAGGCAGCTTTGACACCAGCCCCATCAGACACTTCCCATGCAAAGCTGGGAGCCGGTGTGGTGCCGAGCTCCCGGCTGGCTACAGACATGCGGTGCAGCTGGAGCAATGCCCAGTTGCTACCTGCGAGCCATCCTGCCCCTGAACCCTGTTTCTTACCATATCTGCTAATAGACGTCCGGGATATACTGGCAGAGGCAGGGATGTTGTAGGAGGAGGTCTGTTTGGGAACCAGAGCCACAACTGAGCGGTCTGATACCTGGGGAGTCAAAGGAGGAGAAGATCAGCGCGATCCACCGAAGGAAGGAAGGATAAATCAAAAGACGTATGGAAGATGTTTTTGGTTGCTCTGATTTAAGATTACGTTTTAGCCAATAAAAATGAGAGTCTTAAGAATTGTTGTGATCCAATTAAAGTAACAATGCAGAGGGAATAAAACGGCTATAATAACGTTATGGACCATAAAACTTACCTATTAAACCATTTTTTATTTTAGCGGTCTTTACGAACTTTAAAAGTTTGATTTACAGCCAAACGAGTCATAAAGCCATCTTTCAGGGTATTAAATTGTCAGGCCCTGCACCGTACCAGAGAAGGAATTAAATGCTGGGAAGTCAAACTATAAATGAACATTAGTGCTAACAAGATTTTGTTATAGCAGATTTTAGTAGCCATGTTTAATTTTATCCTCCCTATAAATCTAGTAGTCACTGGAAGTTTTTTAACTTATTTCCCTTAATTAAGAATCTGCAAGTTTCCAGCGGATGAGCCTGAGTGTCTTTTAATGTTGAACTTGTGGCCCTTGCAGCACGGCAAGGGAGCAGAGAGCGGAGTCCCTGCCTCCCTGCTGACAGACCCTCGGGGGCCCAACCAACAAATTATTTAGAGGAGCTGTACAAAAGAAATGCCTCTTTGCACCCTAAAAATTGCTTTCAGGGCTAGATCCTCCTTTATCTGCCAGGATTCCCACGAGGGACCTGGCACTGTCCCTGTGCACAGGGCATCGGCTGGGTTTTGCTCCTGCAGCATCTCCCTGCACTCTCAGCTGAAGGGGTGTCCGTAAACGTCTGCCGCTGCGGTGACCTGCACACAGGGGCCTAAAACCCCCTCCGAGGCTTGGGGTTCCGTTCAGATGAAAGCTTTCATGTAAATACGAGTTGTTATTGTTGCTAGTGACAGTGGGTATAAGTCACTTGTGTTTCACTGGACAAAACTGAGATATTTCTAAGCAAAACACTTCATACACCTCTGCTATATCCTCTTCTGCTCCTGCCTCGCTTCATCCAATTTATTAAGTCAATGGAAGAAACGATCAGTGCTGATATCATTTTCTTAGGCTGTTAGGAGCTGCCACTTCAGCTCAGTTTCACCAAGGAGAAACCCCGAGCAGCCCAGGGTGCTCTCGTGGAGGCAGCAGCTCCCCAGCCCCGTGCTGGAATCCTTCCCTACCCGGGCTGTGGTTAACCGGGAGAGAGGCATTAAAAATTCCACGCACACAGAGCACTCTCACTCTCTAAATTTTGGGTCGAACGGCTCTTGTCAGCTAAAAAATACCAGCGTGTAAATTAGCATCAGATGTAACATGCATTCGTTTCCCATCTTGCTCTGCTGTTGCCACACTCCCGTAAAACCCCAGAGACGTCGGCGACGCTGGCTGGCTGTTTTACAACTTTATAAATATTCCGATTCTTCTACAAGCTGGAAATAGGCTGCACAAAACACCTTAAAGAAAAGACAAAGAAAACCTGGAGTGGGGAGAGCAGCAGGGCAGGAGCCCAGACCCTGCTGTGTTTGTGTGGGCTGGTGAGGATGCCGGCCCCACGGCCAAGCCACCCTCGGCTCCTGGGTCTCATTTTCCACACAAATCTTCCCTCTCTGCTTCTGATTTCTCATTTTAAATAGTTTTCTAGTCTCTCTGCCCTTCCAGACTCCCACGGGCTGACAGGTATTCATGCTCTGCTGCCTCGGAGTTAACCCTGCACGAGCCACGGTAAATCATTTGATATTAAATTCAGTGTTTCATTTTTCTTGAGTAAAACCACGCAGGGTGAGACTCTCCCATGGAGTTTAATAGGCATGAAACCAAAAGGATACTACACAAATGTAGTACAATTCCTTATAACGTACTTTAAAAGCTCCAGAGAATTTAACAAAGAATTACACCTATTTAACCTACAGATCTATTTTTATAAATGAAGAAATAAGCAGCAGGCCTACAGTTCTTGATATAACTCTATAAAGTGGTTCAAAAATATTACAGGAAGATGAATATTTCTTTTTAAATCCAATCTGGCTTTTGCATGCAAAGGCTTCCCATGAAAAACACATTTTATGGGTTGATGCAGATATATATTTTACTTTTATCGACCTAAACGTGCAGACAACAAATATAATAGTGCCAAAAGCCAGCAGCCGAGTGTGGAGCTGAGAAACCCTTGGAATTAAATACCTGCAGAGCCTCCCCACCCTGCCCTGGAGCAGCAGGAGGCTGGTTTGGTCCCTGGCTGGAGTTGGAGCCCGGGAGCTGCAGGGAACGGGGCTGCGGAGCAAACGGACCCCAGAAATCAGGAGCAGGGGCAAGGACTGGAAAGGTTCTGGTCCCTGATTCAGCACTTACTCCCAGGTAAGTGTCTCTCCAAAATGCCTGGTGTTATTGGAGGGAAACACAGGCTGTGCATCTCCAACTACTGCGTGCAAATCCATTTGTCTTCAGAACAGAATTAAAAGATGGAGATAGCTTTGCAGAGCTAGCTTTTAATTTTTCTAGAAATTTAGAAATCATCTTCTCTGGTCCTCCAGAAGCTGGAGAAATCTGGATTTCATTTGTATGGCTTGAACCGCACCTTGTTGACACGGTGAGACAGCAGCGCCTGGAACTCCAAGGGTTTTACACCCTCTTCTAAGCTGTGCCTTTGCCCACATATTTGTTTTACTGTCTAGTCCTGAAGCATCTGTATTTCTGATACCTAATAAAAACACTTATTACTCAAACAGAAAAAAAAACCTGGTAGGAATAAAAAAAAAAAAGCTGGTTTTGGCAAAAGCCTGGCCTTGACAAGACTTCTGTTGCAGTGCAGAGAACTTGGCTTCTTTTTAATGGCTGAAACAGCCCTGTTGGGCTGCGCAGATTTTGGGCCAGAGCAGGAAAAGCCACGTGCAATCGCTACCTGTTTAGACGTTTGGCAGCAAACTTCTACTTTGTTCCACAGCAAGCCTGACATTCAAATGGCAGGAATAGCTGCAGCATCTGGAGTGCTGCAAGGGTTTTGTTTGTTTTCAGGGTAAACTTGTGGCTGAGACTTTCCCACAGGCACTAAAATGAAAAGTACTCCCTCCCCGCGCACCCAGCACACATCAGACAAACAAGGCTTTCACTTGTGACTTCCTTAAGGTGACTTTTAATGATCAAGTCATGATAAAGTCTCACTGCTTCCCTGCGTGTTGGTTAATCCTTTGCAACTATCAGGTAAAACAGATTTTAGAAACAATGGAATTCATCTGCACAACTCCTGTGACATTTTACAGTAATCCCTGTTTAAATCCTTGGGGCTGCTTGGAAAAGTTGACCCTCGAGGTGCTTTTTTACATGCACTTTGCATATTTATGCCATTCCCCCTGCTTCGCTCCCTGATTATATGGCTCCTGTCAATACTGGCTCACATTCAACTTACACAGCATGAGTCACACTGATGGACTCGAGATGGTGTATAAACAGGGAAAGATGCCAGATTAAATACTAAACACTTGTGTGTAGGTAGTGATGGACAGTAGTAGGTTACAGGTCCCAACTAATGCAGTTATCCTCTGCTGCAGACAGGCTTTGAGTAAAAGCCTTTGATTCTCTTTAACAAAAACCTTCCTTAGCTCCAACTTTACTGCTGTTTACATCTTTTGCACACTGTAAGAAGCCCTTTCCAACAGATGCACGCCCATCCAGGGCAGCCCAGGCTGGGGCACGCAGGCTGCAAAAGCTGAAGATGGCAACGATTTCTTTGATCACCTCACCCCTGGCCGATGCACCATAGAGCATCTTCACCGTCTGGCTTCGTTTTATAGTACTTGAGTGGCAAAACTCATGTTACGTGGCTTGGAAGACTAGGTCTGGGACTCAGGAGGTTTGATGTCACCTTGTCAAAAAGTAGCCCCTGATATTCACCCTTTCCTGACCTGGCCTCATCTGGTACCTCCTGTCAGCATTCCCTTGGCCCTCCCAGGTGACAGTATTTGAAGTATTTTCTCCATTTTCCCTTCTTCACTCCTTGCACGAGGCTCAAGAGTCAACACGCAGGAAGATCATGAGGGACGAGCTGCCGCTGCAGCCTGCGCTTTGCATCCGAGCCTGTGGTGTTTGCAAGCCTCTGAAGGAAGGAGGAGACCCCCCTCCCACCCCTGCTGCACTCCTGGTTGTCTCAGACCCCCACGCGAAGACCCGAGCCCCACGTGCCATCCCTCTCCTGGCCCCGCATCTCCAGCAGCAGCAGCTCAGCCCTCGCCGCTGCTCCCTCTATCTCACTAGCACGGCTGGCGGTTTTAATTTAGCCAATTTTCAACTCTGCTAGTTTCTTTAAGATCCGTGTCAAGGTTGCTTTCCCATCTAATGCATAAGCACATTGAACCCTTCTGGTTTATCATACAAATGCGACCTCCCTGTCTGTCTTGGTAGACGAGAAACTTGGGTATTAAATTTCCGCTTTGCCTTTCTTCCCTCCTGGCAGCTTTCTGGGAGCTGGCTGCTGGGGCCGCTTTCTTACCTGATAATGCACCAAGGTGTTCAAGCGCTTCCAATCTCCTTCAATCTTGGTGGTGATGTCTTCATCTTGCAGGACCACGCGAGCTATCCGGCCCTGCCGCCACTCTGTGGGAGAGGCAAAAACCAGGCAGACACGATGGTCAGCGAGGGAAAAGGCACTGACGAGCTCCTTCCACTTCTGGCCCAAGTAACTACTGGACAGATGAGCCTGTAGAAAAGCCCAAATCCCAGGAAGGGGCACCAAGAGAAAGCTAAGTTCTGCTCTTGAATATTACAGCTGCAAGGAAGGTCACACTGCTGCTTTCTTGCAGCAAACCACAGCATTTCAGTTCCTGTGCGGGGGGATTCTGCAGCGTTTAGCTAAATTCAGGCACAGCCCCTTCCCAGCCCCTCTGTCCCCCTGGCTCTAGTACAACACACAACACTGGGGAGAGTGAAGGAAACTTCAGGAATCATTTGCTCTGTGGTCAAAGGACAACAGCTCACACAGAGCTCCAACCCTCTCCATCGGGAGCAGCTCTCATGGTTTTTAGGGACAAAACCATGGGTTTTTGTGCAGCTTGAGCTTAACTTCTATGCTCTGCAAAACCCACCGAGAATCACTGACACTAACAGATTTTCCCCTTCCTATGAGGCAGGGAAGTTCGTACCCAAGTCCATGTCAACAGCTCTTGGTCTTTGAGAATATGGGACGTTTTTGTATACTGCGTCGAGGATCTTCTCTTTGACTTGAGTGATGGTGTCACAGTTCAGCACCTTCACAGGGATCTCGGGACTGTTCTCATTATCTGGGTTCACACAGTTTAGGATCTGGAAAGGAAGGAGAACCACACCATGTTCTAAAGGCGTTCAGACCATCACCAGGAGAACTGTAACCAAACCTGTCACAACAATTCGTTCTCAAAAATACATGCTGCATCCCTGCTTGCATCATTGCTGTTGCACCTAGTACATCTTTACAATGATTATTAAGAGTACTGGATATCCGTTGTCATTTGCTAGAGGGAGGGCAACGATCAGTGTTCAGGGAGATAAAACGCTCCCCTCAAACCCTTCCTTTCAAAACCTTAGCTCAGGCTATTTGTACCTGCAAATTAGGGACATGACTCGAGCATTGGTCTAGCAGCATGAGGCTTTATTGCTTCACGGTAGTGTCCTAAACACCGGCCTAAAGGTCAGAACAGCTCACGTCCAAGCGAGGAAGACAGAAGGAATTCAATGGCAGCTTCCGCAGCGATCACTCACCAGCGTCTTGTACTCAATCTGCTGCCGGATCAGCTTGTCCTCACTGAGGGAATAACGGGCCTCTCCGGTGATGGCATCAATAGGACCTTTCTCCATCTGCTGCTTGATGGCACAGTAGAGCATGAAGAGGGGCTCCCCAGCGCATTCCTACACAGCGAGACAGCAAACCCAACACAGAGCTGAGGGTGCATCTCCTCACGGCCCCCGGCTGCAGACAGGCTTTGCACAGGATTCATTTCAGCAGAGGCATAGTCCGCTGGCTCAATCTTTAGCACGTGTAAGCTAGGCTCAGCCCCCAGTGGCTCCGGGAGAAGACAGCCAAACCCATGAGCTCCACTGCTCGATGGGTATGTTGTCTTTGGCTTGGTAAATCTCTACTGAATCTATATGGCTGGGAAAAAAAAGAATTTGAGATGTTGATCTCATTGTTTACTCCCATGAATTCTCTGGGGCTGCCAAAACCACAAATAAAGCTAAAAAACATGGAGGCCCAAGCACAGAGAAGCAAGTGAGAATTTCTCATGAGTGCTACAGGGGTGCAGCAGAATCTTCATGACATGAGAATTACACCAGGCAACCGGAGGGCTGGAGAAGGCCGAGCACAGAGGCTGTGACAGGCTGCCCCTGTGCCAGCAGCTCAGGGTGTAGGCACCTCCAAACAAGTTTTCACTTCCCCTGCCTGGCTACTACAGCTTTTGACTGGGAGTCTGACTGAAGGGTTTCAAGCCCAGATTCACCCTGGGGATGGCTGGTGGGTGAGACAGCCAAAGCAGCAACGGTCTTGGCTCTATTCCCCCTTACCTTGAGGAACTTGTGCAGGAGGAAGGCAAACCAGTTAGTCAGCATCTTCTCGGCCACCGACTCGGTCCTAGAGAAGCCAGAAGGACACACACGTTAAGTACGAAACCAAACCACACGTCAGAGGTCCCAAATCACAGAAACATAGAATGGTT